GGCAATTCCCCTGCAGGAAGAATGGCGTAGGATCCCTCATCAGGATGTCATGAGACTCGTTTACTCAGTTCGACGTCGTGTTACGGCCTGCATCGTTGCTGGAGGGGGTCATCCGATACTGAGCCTTGTGGGTAGCACGGGACTTTAAAAAAGATCGACGTCGATTCTGCGGGTGTGATCGAATACTGGACAGTGCACCCAGCATGACAAACGTGTCTGCAGAACTTTAATTACATGGTTCTTTATCTTATCATTTTCAAATACCGTTTTTGAATAATTGTTCATAATAACAAAGTTTTTATAATAACAAATCTACTGTTACAAAATTTTGCGTCTGTTTTGTTTTATACCAGACAATTGTTTGGTGGCGTTTCTTTTTCCCGTTCGTTTAGTACTTGCCTGGCTAAAACATGAACTAGTCAGCTCTGAGTCAGTTAACTGTGTTTGTGTGGGGTAGTCATTCTAAACTGCAGCATGGTATCTCGGTGGACTAGTACTATAAAACTGGCATTAGTCCGTACTAATACAAGCAGACCCATACACGTGCATGCACGTATATCTATATAAATGCAAACTGTTTGAATGGCATCCAGAGTGAGTAATTAAAAAACGTACAACTTTATGTACAACATATAGCGACGATTTGATGTAGATTCTACACCGTTATCAAGCTGGAGTGACTACAATCAAGTGATGAGAGCTAATTATGCGACCCGTGAAGATCCGGGGTAGAATAGGTCTTCAGCAACCCATACTTACCATAAAAGGCGACTATGCTTGCCGTAAGAGGCGACTAACGGGATCGGGTGGTCAGGCTCGCTGACTTGCTTCATGCATGTCATCGATCCAATTGCGTGGGTCGATGCTCATGATGTCAAACACTGGATTGTCTGGTCCAGACTAGATTATTTACCGACCGCCGTCATATAGATGGAATAGTGCTGAGTGCGGCGTTAAACAACAAACAAAGAAAAAAAAAGGTTTATATGCATGACATGCTGTGATTAACAATCTATGCTGAGTGTATAGGCAATTAACCACAGGAAATTAGAAGGATCGGTGCAATTGGTCCATCTACAGGATATAGTGGTTGTCACCTAGTGATAAGCATCACGATGACTTGACTGCTAATCATAAACGTTTGATTATAAACAAAATTCGTCTCAACACGTTCACGATTTTGAGACCAGTCGTGGTCTCCTTTGCGCGTAGGCTTAGTCGTCATTTCCAACAGGATAACACCCCCTCACATAAAGTTCGTTGCTGGGGAAGGATACGCTCACCTTTTCACGAAAACCTGGTACCATCACTATCTGATAGTGATTCATGAACACATGGTCATGATATAGTCGGAATCATACTATGGACTCATGGGTAATGTTTTGTTACTTGTATTAATATCGGAGTATTACAACATATGAAAACAAATAAATCTTGTCAGCAAGCCACATGAATGCATAGCGTTTCCAACAGACATAGTACAGCTGTAAGCAAGGATTATATCCTACCTAAATATTATCCCGGGGGAAGTTTTACTCTAGAGTAAAGTATCCTACCTTAGTGTGGGAAACCTGGGATAGGTTATGTCCAAACATTAAGGGAAATTCATCCAAGTGAAACATACCTAAGTGGAAATAGGAAAATGTATCCTGGGATAGTTTACACTAACTTGAATCAGTGTATATTATCTCATGACAGACTTCCTTTGCACGTGCATTGCATGCTGTCATGACATTCATGCTGTCAGCTGATCACATGACTTCATGACTTTGAGGTTTGACATTGACATTGTCAGTTGATTTGATCAACCATGGATGGAATCCGATCCTAGGATAAATAAAACTAGCAATACTAGGGGGAATCATCCTGACACTAGAGAATATCATCCCCGGGATAAGAGTGAGTGAGTGATTATGGTTTTACGCCGCTTTTAGCAATATTCAAGCAATATCACGGCGGGGGACACCAGAAATGGGCTTCACACATTGTACCCATGTCGGGAATCGAACCCGGGTCTTCGGCGTGACGACTGAATGCTTTAACCACTAGGCTACCCGACCGCCCCACCCGGGATAAGAAATAGTTTAGGATAATATTCACTCTTACACATCAACTCTAAAATGACATGATTATTTGAAAATGTTTCATTTTTCAAACCAAAAAAACAAAGACAGAATCAAAAGAATGTAAATGATCTACAGCCAATAAACTGCCAGTGAAAAGAACATGAAAATTGGATTTGACCCCAAAATAACAAACGTTACCAAAATGTTACAAGGCTGAAATCAATCGCAGAATATCCGCAAACCTCAGGTTCAAACACAACTACACACATCCATATATATATATATATATGTGTGTGTGTGTGTGTGTGTGTGTGTGTGTGTGTGTGTGTGTGTGTGTGTGTGTGTGTGTGTGTGTGTGTGTGTGTGTGTGTGTGTGTGTGTAAATACGCCCCCACCGAATAACCATTTCTCGTTTCTTTAAGCCTTCATCAAACGTATGTATTTTTTTTGCCCGTCAGTTAAGTAATTCCTTGTGCTTGAGGGGGCGGTCGGGTAGCCTTGTGGTTAAAGCGTTCGCTCGTCACGCCGAAGACCCGGGTTCGATTCCCGACATGGGTACAATGTGTGAAGCTCATTTCTGGTGTCCCCCGCCGTGATATAGCTGGAATATTGCTAAAAGCGGCTTAAAACCATACTCACTCATTCACTCACTCACTCACTCACTCTTGTGCTTGAGTGAACAGCGTTATGTGATTCAAGGGAGACACCTCTTCACGGGACGTTCATCTTACACTGAACATAGGAGCATTGCCAGATTATTATACTGTCACCAGAGCGGCGGTGACCATATCATCAACAACCTGGCGACAAAATCATAGACGTGACGGTTGTTTGTTATCTCTATATTTCGAATAACAGATTTCTGGAGATATTAATTCTTTGGTTACATATGAAAGTCCACGTCGACCTATTCGCCCATCGTGTACGCCAACAGTTCCAGGAACAATTCAAGAATAGTCTTTTAATTTGGCTTTTATCTTCCACTTTTTCTAACTGCTCGAAAAGTTTAGATATATATATACCCTGGACTGTTCCAAAACATTAACTTCATATACGTCAAAATATTGGAGACAAAAAATACATAAATAGTAACTTTACAGACAAATAATCACACTTGACTGTGGACCATACGGAACCAGTAACATCGTTGAGCGCAATTATGCAACACAAGCCCTGCCCATCATTTTATCAGCCAATCAGAAATCAGTAGTCCGTTAGTGGGAGTGGCCTATTGCTTTTTCGGTTTATGCAAAACTTAGCCAATCAAACGCCATGGAATCATTTACTATTTATTTAGGGGCGGTCGGGTACCCTAGTGGTTAAAGCGTTGGCTCGTCACGCCGAAGACCCGGGTTCGATTCCCGACATGGGTACAATGTGTGAAGCCCATATCTGGTGTCCCCCGCCGTGATATTGCTGGAATATTGCTAAAAGCGGCGTAAAACCATACTCACTCACTCACTCACTACTATTTATTTATAAGGTAGACTTTTCCAATTGACCTGAATAAAATTGCCAAAAGAATACAAATTCTGATTGGTGACTTTGTGATTGATCAATCATTTTGAATCATTGGCAGAAGGCGATGGGTCTTTTGTGATGAAACCTGCATTTAAAGCTGTTTTTGTATTGGAATGTGTAATGTAAAACGTAAATCGGTGGCAAAGTCTGCGTCTGTCTGAGGTGTTTGAATTTGAAGCGAAGTCCACAGAACACTAAGGGGCGGTCGGGTAGCCTAGTGGTTAAAGCGTTCGCTCGTCACGCCGAAGACCCGGGTTCGATTCCCGACATGTGTACAATGTGTGAAGCCCATTTGTTGTGTCCACTGCCGTGATATTGCTGGAATATTGCTAAAAGCGGCGTAATTGACTATTGTAGCGTAAAACCTGAACACATCATTAGTCCCCAATTCAACACACATATATACCTGGGCCCCGATACGCAAAGCTATCGTAGCATTAATGTAATCCTATAGCTAACTCCCATACCTAACACAGATTAACTATAGTCGTAACGCTAAGAGGTGAGATGAAATGGGGTTTAACGTCGCGTCCAAGATTATTGCACTTATATAGCGACGTGCATGTACGTGTGTGTGTTTGTGTGGCTGCTTGTACTAGTCCGGACTGATGCCGATTTATAGTGCTAGCTCACTGAGATACCATGCCGCAGTTTAACATGAATACCCCACTCAGACACAGTATACTGACTCCAAGCCGACCAGTCCTTGTTTTAGCCCCTTAATGCCGAGCGCCAGACAGGGTAACAACAAGTACCATCTTTTAACGTCTTTTGGTATGACGCGGTCGGGGATCGAACCCCGGACCTTCCCCTCTTCGGGCGGACGCTCTACCACTAGACCACGGAGGCGGTCTGTAACGCTAAGAACTCTCTGTACAGCGGGGATCTGCCCCATGACGACAAAGCCCATCGGCCATGGGGGACGATTGCCGGTAAGAACATAGGTCCCCACCAACCTACGCTTGTCGTATGAGTGAGTGAGTGAGTGAATATGGTTTTACGCCGCTTTTAGCAATATTCAAGCAATATCAAGGCGGGGGAAACCAGAAATGGGCTTCACACAATGTACCCATGTTGGGTTCGAACCCGGGTCTTCGGCGTGATGAGCGAACGCTTTAACCACTAGGCTACCCGACCGCCCCGCTTGTCGTATGAAGTGATTAAATGGATCTGCTGGTCATACTCGGTGACAAAGTTGCAACATGTCATCATATCCCAAATGCTTGGATCAATGCTCATGATGTCAATCGCTGGAGTGTCTTGGATATACTTCGATTATTCCCAATCAAGTGTCAAAAAGCTGAATATTGCTGAGTGTGGCGTTAAACAACAAACAAACACTCAAAACGCAACATACATATACATTTAAAAAAAAATTGTTCCTTCGAATAACAGCCATAACAGACTCTCAAATACAATCTATACAATTTATTTGACATATTTCACAAATTACACACTGTACAAAAGACATTATCAGGTTTTGTTCAAACCGTGACAATACAGAGGATATTTCAATTTATTTGTCGAGATAAACAACATCGTTGCACTCGACCCACTGCTTGCCAACAAAGAACATCGGTATACACGCATGGTTAGGACAGGCGTCGAATCTGAAACCAAACAGTTTTTGAAATTAAAACGTGTAAAGTTGTTTAATTAGATAAATTGTGTCCGTCAATGCCAAATTTAAGACAGTCATCGAACCATGCTAAACGGCTGGAAGACCTAAAGCTGCACGTGGTCTAAATAGGCCGCAATGGTATTCCCTTTCTGCTCACGTCATAAGTATTATATCTTGATAAACAGTGTTTGTAATTAAAACGTGTAAAGTTGTTTATTTAGATAAATTGTGTCCGTCAATGCCAAATTTAAGACAGTCATCGAACCATGCTAAACGGCTGGAAGACCTAAAGCTGCACGTGGTCTAAATAGGCCGCAATGGTATTCCCTTTCTGCTCACGTCATAAGTATTATATCTTGATAAACAGTGTTTGTAATTAAAACGTGTAAAGTTGTTTATTTAGATAAATTGTGTCCGTCAATACCAAATTTAAGACAGTCATCGAACCATGCTAAACGGCTGGAAGACCTGAAGCTGCACGTGGTCTAAATAGGCCGCAATGGTATTCCCTTTCTGCTCACGTCATAAGTATTATATCTTGATTAACAGTGTTTGTAATTAAAACGTGTAAAGTTGTTTAATTAGATAAATTGTGTCCGTCAATGCCAAATTTAAGACAGTCATCGAACCATGCTAAACGGCTGGAAGACCTAAAGCTGCACGTGGTCTAAATAGGCCGCAATGGTATTCCCTTTCTGCTCACGTCATAAGTATTATATCTTGATGAACAGTTTTTGAAATTAAAACGTGTAAAGTTGTTTATTTAGATAAATTGTGTCCGTCAATACCAAATTTAAGACAGTCATCGAACCATGCTAAACGGCTGGAAGACCTGAAGCTGCACGTGGTCTAAATAGGCCGCAATGGTATTCCCTTTCTGCTCACGTCATAAGTATTATATCTTGATAAACAGTGTTTGTAATTAAAACGTGTAATGTTGTTTATTTAGATAAATTGTGTCCGTCAATACCAAATTTAAGACAGTCATCGAACCATGCTAAACGGCTGGAAGACCTGAAGCTGCACGTGGTCTAAATAGGCCGCAATGGTATTCCCTTTCTGCTCACGTCATAAGTATTATATCTTGATAAACAGTGTTTGTAATTAAAACGTGTAAAGTTGTTTATTTAGATAAATTGTGTCCGTCAATGCCAAATTTAAGACAGTCATCGAACCATGCTAAACGGCTGGAAGACCTGAAGCTGCACGTGGTCTAAATAGGCCGCAATGGTATTCCCTTTCTGCTCACGTCATAAGTATTATATCTTGATTAAACAGACATCGTATCTCGCAACACAAAGAAATAATTGAATAAACATCTATTGCCCTATTTCCATGTCTTATTTAAAATGGCAGCTCGATACCTTAAGTTGTCTCGAACTCCTTGGGACTTAAGAAATTGTTCGACTTATCCGGCGTCGACACAACCAAGTTCAAGACAACCGGGTTCGGCAGTATATTATTAGTTATGGTGTCTTTAGTCGCCGTTTGCGGAGTCATTTTAGGTTAGCAGAAAAATATTCGGCGAGGCGTCAGTCCAATATCTTTTTGCTAACCAAATATGACACAGTATACGTCAATTAAAGACACCATGACGAATTTATTATGCCGAAAAGTTTACACTATCTGGTGTCCATATCGCACGTGTCAGGACAAAATGAAAACTTGACACTTGCAACAGCTGACGATGAGGGTCAAAGGGAGACTACTCTTCAAACCTTTGAGGCCAAGCTATAAAGTATAATTTTAACTATAATCTTTATCAATAAAGTCACGAACGTGATCTTAAAAAATATCAATGTCCTTGCACCTGAAAATTAATGATAATAAAACACAAAATAGTGAAGAATAACGAATTTCTGTACCAGATATTTCATGTGGAAAACGTGAGGTGGGTGGGTGTTGGAAAATGGCTGATACTGATCTTGGATTTTTATTGACGGGATACGTGCTCACGAGGGGTTAGTAGTTCTGCTCTCTTATTGGCCAGTCTCACTATATATATATATATATATATATATATATCTATATCTATATCTATATATATCTTGAATATTACTTCAGATAGATCACAGCGATGTTGTTGGCGGAATGCCGGAATATATTCAAGCGTTTATCACTGCGAGTGAGTGAGTGAGTGAGTTTATCCCTCCCACCCCTCTCTATGAACACATTTTAGTTCTATCACAGGGCGTCAGCTTGATATTGTTGAATCCTGGCGTAACCTGACTTAACTTTGACGAGCGCAGGTTTGGTGCTGACATTGTACTGAATTATTACTCAAATCGGCGGAAACCTTCCTCGTACTCGATGTTTGGGTACGATCTGACACAAACACAGCCAGCACATGCAGGTACTTACTTGCAGACAGCGCCAGGGACGTCGGCACAGGGCTCATCAGCAAACATGTCGCAGGGGTCCCAGGCACAGAAGCTCATGTAGCCGAAGGATTCTTCCTGTGGGGGGCAGACATACCCCTCCTCCCGTCGGGCCACCTTGCCCACCTCTCTGCACATTGCTGCAAGTAACACAACCCATGGCGTTTAAGCTGTGCCAATTAATGATGGTTTACAAGTCCAGGAATATTATGATGAGTATGAGTATCGATAGCTACGTCATTTCACTGGAGTGGGCGAGTGAATGAGTGTGATTTTACGTCGCTTTTCTCAATAATCCAGCAATATCATTGCAGGGGACAATGACATATAGGTTTCACTAATTGGAAATATTTGAGGAAGCGAACCCGGTCCATCGGCTTGACGAGCGACCGTTTTACCCTCCAGGCTAACCTAATATCACATAACTTGAAATTAAACCACACAATAATTACTAATTCGGAAATAATAATAATAATGATGATGATGATGATGATGATGATGATGATGATGATGATGATAATAATAATAATAATAATAATAATATCCCATCAGGGGAAAATTATGTCTATTGGTTTAGGGGGTTACGCAAACTTTTAAAAGAAATTTGAAAACACTCCCAATCACCCATCTGTGTATTTTAATTCAATCTTGCCGAACCATGTATGTATTGATCTTCTAAAATTTAAATAGATATGCAGTGTCTAACAAGTTCGCGTTGATATTTTAAAGATTAAATTAATCAGCGAAATTCCGGTTTCGCAGTTCAAAACGTATTGAAACATTTGTTGATCGAGTTTTCGATTTCGCGAACACCTGGTGTCATCGCGTATTTTTAGTTGCCCATTTATGTAATTTTCTCCTCTATTTGGCCTTTTTTGCAGAATGGAATCTGTTTCGGCATCTAATCGCGACTGGTTATTTCCTGGCGTCGTCGTTTAATACGCAATGACGGACTGAATATTGACTTACAGTAAACTACGGTTATAACGAACTCAAAGGGACTACTAATTTTAGTTCGTTATAACCGTAGTTCGTTATAAGTACATATACAGCATGAATACAGCAAGTAGTCGTGACCAAAAAGTAAGTTCGTTATATCCGTCAGTTCGTTATAAGCGTGTTCGTTATAACCGTAGTTCACTGTAGTTGGATTTCAATTGTAATATCCCATCTATTTAGATATCAGTTCGTTTTCGTTTTGTTGACTTTTTGTATTTACCGCAAATGTCCACAAACCAGTGTTTTCATAAGCACGGCGGCTTTAAAATGCCACTTATAGATATTACACCCAAGACTAGCATTAGATGTGACCCCTGATATTTACATGATATATACAACTGTCTCTATTATGAATTACATTGACTCGTTACTATGTTTCGTGTTATGTACACGCGGGTAACACGTAGGACGTTAATTAATCTGCACATTATATCACGATAGTGTTAATCACTCAATAATAATATTTCAATGATGATTACGCGTGTTAACGAGTGTAGGTTGCAGATAAACAGGAAACAAGTATGATATTCACAAATTGTGGTTCTACATTACATATTGTTATTAGATTTGATAAGGCACGGATTGTGGACAGTTCAATGGGCGAGGGTAGTAATTGACCCTCTGAAAATGTCAACTTTTAAAGATACTTAGAGAAGAAATCCAGGAGCAAGTCTATGACTGAAGGTAAATATTTCATCATTAGTTTGTAATTATAGTGAGTGAGTTGGGTTTAACGCCGCTTTTAACAGTATTCCAGTTATAACACGGCGTGTAAGCTTAATGTGGGAGGAAAGCCCGAAGTGATGCAGGTCTCAGACGTTTACCACTTTGGTGAAACCCACGAGCACGGGTATGGTTGCTGACAAACCTAGAAACATAACTGGGTCGAACCGGGATTCGAACCCACAATCATCGGTTTCTGGCGTGCCCAAGGGAAAGCAACTCTGCACAGAGAATCGCGGCGCATTAGACGACTGGGCCACCCATGCCCCCAGTTCTTAATGATCACACATCTAGGCCCCGTTCCAAAAAGCGATCCCATTCTAAGGCGATCGTAACTCCAATACTTTAACATTGGCCTACAATAGTCGTTGCTTAAGATAACCTTTGATAACTTTAAAGGGTTTCTTTGTTAAATGATGCAGATCGTGTTGGTTCCCTTCCCGAGAAGTTGGAACGGTTGAATATGAAATGTGAACGTTATTGTTTGTTTGTTTGTTTGTTTGTTGTTTAACGCCGCACTCAGCAATATCCAGCTATATGACGGCGGTCTGTAAATAATCGAGTCTGGGCCAGACAATCCAGTGATTGATAACATGAACATCGATCCACGCAATTGGGATCGATGACATGCAACAACCAAGTCAGCGAGCCTGACCAACCGATCCCGTTAGTCGCCTCTTACGACAAGCATGGTCGCCTCTTACGACAAGCATAGTCGCCTTTCACGTCAAGCATGGGTTGCTGAAGACCTATTCTACCCCTGATCTTCACGGGCTGAACGTTATTGACGCCCATTATAACGAAATGTGAACCATTTGCGACTTTGCTTGTCCATGCATGATTACAGTCTTAGCATAAACGCCTAAAAAATATAACATATTGAAATATTAAAAATAATGTTTCTTTTTCCTTTCATTTTTTCTTTTTATGTGGATGTGGTCAAAATGCAATGTCGCTTTAAAGAGTTTGTCATTTCAAAGCATAAAGGGCGGTCAAGTAGCCTAGTGGTTAGAACGTTCGCTCGTCACGCCGAAGATAAGGGTTCGATTCTCCACTGGGTGAAATGTGTGAAGCCTATTTCTGGTGTCCTCGCTGTGATATTCCTGGAATATTGCTAAAAGCGGCTTAAAACCATAGTCCATCACTTCAGAGTTTACATAAGAGATTGGTTTCGTCTATCAATATGAAATATTGAGAATAATTACGAGTCATTATGGAATTCATTTGGCTGAAAAGGCAAGGAAAGGTACACCCCGAAACAAAAAAGGTGAACTCACCAGCTCCGACCACGACAAGGAGAACACAGAGGACCTTCATTGTTGTTTCAAAGTCAGAGATCGCTCAGAATCAAAACAAGGAGTTATGACTCAACTGCGAACAAAGAGGGCATTTATACACCCGAGAAAACGCCAACTAGCGTCCAATGCCCACAACAAATTACAAATTTTAATCCAATTAAGATTCATTACTAGTGTTAATTGCAATCGTATTAGAAGTCATGTCGTTTAGAACACGAATCTCAGCATTTTTATCACTGGGCGGTCGACCATCTGGGACGAAGGATAACTCACATTGGGACAAGTGGCATTGGCCTCCGAGGCGTGAATTTCCATAAAGAGGTTTCTTAGCGCACGCTATATTTATCGAAATGTCAACCGTGAATTATTACGTTGTACTTATTTCCTTACGTAGATTAAAATGTGTTTGGCATTGACATGGACTATGTGTTTGAACTTTAAGATATAATTGATTAAATTCATTGGTTCAGGGCTCTTGTTTGGATGGTTATAACGGTAAATTTCCCTTCGTTTAAAATCAGTGGGACTCAAATGCCACATTTGTGGCATCTGAAGGTTATGGTTTATTAGTGGTGTTTATGTTTATGATTAGTTCAATTTAATTCCTGTTGTGAAATTATCGTTGAGGAAATTATAATGAGTTTGTTATTCTCGTCGGTAGGGTGTTCCATTTGACAAATGCATTTCATTCAGTTATTATTACCACTTTATAGAGAACAGGAGTAAACTTACAACTTTCGAAGTTGGGGGATGCCTTCTTGGCTTAGTGGTGGATACCGCGTCATACCAAAATACTTTAAAAGATGGTACTTGTTGTTACCCTGTCTGGCGTTCGGCATTCAGAAACTAAAACAAGGACTATCGGCTCTGAGTCAGTATACTGTGTCTGAGTGGGGTATTCATGTTCAACTGCGGCATGGTATCTCAGTGGGCTAGCACTATAAACCGGCCTTAGTCCAAACTAGTACAATAATATTGTGCAATAAGTGCGAGAACCATGAACGTCAAACCCCATATCACTAACCCCACCTCCCAAAGGAAGGGTCATCGTTTGAAGATCGTTATTTAACCGAATATATATTATTACTTTATTAATAACTCTTATAATATCACAACAGAATCTGATTTAATCACACAGTAAGCACATTTTATTAACTCAAGAAACCCTACATTGTATTACAATAAAAAGAAAACATTATCTCATTAACTCTTCACCTTTCTCGTTCGTATGATTTCTTCACTGAAATATGTTCATTACACTTTTCTGGGTCTAAAAGTTTTAACTTTAATTTCAATGACTAATTGTGAAATATAAGATATTTTTGTTTAGCCTGCTAGGATACGTAGTATTTGCTTAAGTGAGTGAGTGAGTGTTTGGTTTAATTTCATCTTCCCGATTGAATAGCAAGATAAAGTTGCAGTATATAAATCTCAATAGAGTACTTACATGGTTGTGCTTGAGAGGTAAAAGTTCTTGATCTATATTGCCTATAATACTTTTTACATGTGACACCTTTTTCGTCTTTGGGGAAACCAAATTTATTGGTAAACATCTGCCGGTTTTGAATCAGTGAAGGAAGTTGGTTTAAAACCATTTTGAACAGTATTTCAGGTCGAAGACGAAGTGATGCAGGTCTCAGACGTTTACCACTTTGATGAAACCCACGAGCGAGGGTATGGTCCTGACAATCCTAGAAACATAATCGACGCGAACCGGAATTCGAACCCACAATAATAAGTTCCTGGTGTGTCCAAGGGACGCAACTCTGCACAGCAAATTGCGGCGCGTGAGACGATTAGGCCACCAATGCCCCTAATTAATAAAAACAGGTGTAGAAGGCTAATCTATTTTCTGATCAAGAATATGTATTTTGAAGAGGTGAGGTGAGGTGAAATTGGGTTTAACGTCGCGTCCAAGATTATTGCACTTATATAGCATGCACGTGTTAGTGTGTGTGAGTCTGCTTGTACTAGTCCGGACTGATGCCGAATTATAGTGCTAGCCCACTGAGATACCATGCCGCAGTTTAACATGAATACCCCACTCAGACACAGTATACTGACTCCGAGCCGACCAGTCCTTGTTTTAGCCCCTTAATGCCGAGCGCCAGACAGGGTAACAACAAGTACCATCTTTTAACGTCTTTTGGTATGACGCGGCCGGGGGCTCTCCGGGCGGACGCTCTACCACTAGACCACGGATGCGGTCGTATTTAGTAGAGGGCCTCTGATCACACACGTGACACAGTATCTTCATCAATTATAATGTTACTGTTGCCATGGTAATTCCGGGTTAGAATTATTCCGCAGCATCCTATATGCTGGCCGAAGGAAAATACTTAACTGATCAGGTAGTCAAGCTCGGTCACGCGTGGCTCGTTGCTCATAATATCAATCACAGGTTTGTCAAGCCCAGACTTTATCATTTGAAGGACATGGATGGAGGTGGAAGTTTGACAAATGCGGCGTAAAACAACCCCAGATTAAACCAAAAAGATGGGAAAACGCTACATCGATATTTGGATAAATTGTATACTTATATTCATGCCATCCATTATTGATAATTTAAAACATAACAATTTCCTATTTGGGATACGTCAAGGTTGCATGCTGAAGCCTCTTATTTTAGTCACAAGTAAACCATGAACTGGGATACTTGCAGACGCATCACGGTGGCTCTTTTCCCCACGATATCATACTGATTTGTGTCTATCCCACTCGACACGTATTATTGCCTCCTGTGACAGGATAGAAAAACTGATTTTTTATTTGAAAAAAGTTTCAACGGCCTCGATGATGACATACCACATTAAGATAGGGGTAATACTACATGCACTGAAATAATTAATTACATGCTGATATGAACAAGAAATTCTGTATTTTATTTACATAGACCATGGACTTTAATATTTACACCTCAATGAGTTAAAAAGTCATATTCATTTTGCAAGGTCATCTGATACCGTCACAATCAGGCTATCTGAAACTCCATCACCGTCATCTTGATATATCACAAACTTCTTCATCCACAATTGTTCCGAATTAAATAAAGACGTTTAAATATTGAATATAGTAAAAAATGTCGTCATTTTAAATCCAGGATGGCTGCCAAATGGTCGACGAAAAAATGAAATTACTGAAGTTCTTGTTGCAACAAAAAATTTAATGAGTGCAAAGACTCAAACGTGATATGTCTCCCAAAATTATCAATGACATATGCAAGGCACATTTTATTTGCCCTGATTAAAAACTGTTGACTGTAATTATAGAAATGCGTTCCAATAATTTACATAAACTGCTAATTGATGAAATAGGACGATAATTACATGGCTTGAGTGTTAAATAATGTCATCAAGTGACTTAATTTCCTCTTTGCGGGACACCCATGTACTATATGTTAAATAGCAAACACAAGTGGCCTATTGGGGAAGAGTGGGTGGGAGTAGCTCAACGTCAAGTCCTGTTGCATGCTTGTCCTCCATACTGCTAATGATATTCACCTTGACAATTTAACCATAAAGAATCTATAAGTATTTTCTTATAAAAATGGTCAACTTTGTCAGGTGACGAGATAAACATGTTATTTTACTATAAAAAAAAAAAAGCTCTTTTTTTTAAAAAAATAATTCTAATCTTCATCTTTCTCTAAAATAGTGTCACTGAGGCAGACTTAAAGTGGGATGGAGCGGCCAAAGCCAAGGAATATGATCAGAGCCAAGGCTTAAAACACTCTGGATTTATCTCATTTAAGCCGTGGATTGAGTTGGGCCTCTTAAACCGACGTCAAGTGTTATTTTACTGCAGTGACATATCCATTTTATATTTTCAGATAAATACAGTATCTCATCACTAAATTCATACCAATCTGTTTTACGATTTCGAACCAAACTAACTCGAGGTTATTATCACCCGTTGTAGAAACAAGCGAATGCTCTTAAAAAAATAAACGCCAATCGATTAAAGGTAATGACATCAACCCAATTGGAAATTGTATTGATTTAAATAATCTTTTAATTTTTTTCAATAAAATAAAGTTTTTATTACATGACAGAAGGATCTCTGTTCTGAATCTGTTTCGGCAGATAATCGAGACTGGTTATGTTGTTGTTGTTGTTGTTGTTGTTGTTGTTGTTGTTGCAATTTCGTCTGACCTGTCCCTCTTTGAGATTCCTGTGTGTGAGTAGGGTACACATATCTATTGTGAGTTTGGTATTCGCAGAATTTCTGTTTTCGTATTGATATGATTTCTGTTTTCGTATATTGATATAATTTCATTTTTATCTTTGGCTGCTCTGTTTATATTCGTTCGAGTAGCTGTCCATCTCTCAGAAATAGAGTTAGTTTGGCCTTCGCTATTGCATCTCTTGGCTTAAGGAGATCTACGACAGATAGCGGATCTAACTGCAGTTCTTGTTTTAACCGAGCTCGGCGTGGTTATATTCTCTGGTGACGGCGTTTTATATTCATCGAAAAGTGCCATGCCTTATCACCTTATTATAATTTTCTGTGTTTTTTTTGTAACTATTCCAACCACTCTAGTCTCCGTTCTTCAATGTAAGATAAACCAGGGTTGTTGTGAGGTCGTATTTTGACTTCGTTGCTAAAGGATAATATCGTTACGGAGCATTAAAGCTTCCTGTTGAAATAACTTGGATTTTGTATGACTGAATTATTAAACTTCACCCGACCTAGTCTATGTTCCCGTGTCAAATAACTGGCCCGTGATGATCTGGGTTAGAATTGGTCTTCAGCAACCTATGCCTGTCGTAAGAGAGGACTAACGGGATGCGTAGATCAATGTTCATGATGTCAATCACTGGGTTGTCTGATCAAGACTCGATTATTTAGAGACTACCGTCAATTATCTGTAATATTACTAGTACGGAGTTAAAAAAAAACCATTACCCCACCTTACATTAAAATACTTCCCTCTGGTTAATGAGAGGGCAATTATTTTCCATATAATGAGAAATCAAACGGAACACATCTTGTAACTTGCTTATCTCGCATAAGTATCGTTGAGGTGAAATGAACCGATGTTTATCCGCTGCATTAGGTAAAGGGAAGTCACTCGGTTTTTTATGCTTCGTATGTTAGCTGTCAAAATGGCTGAATCAAAGCGCTTTACTCGGTAAAACTTCGGACATATATTCCGACTGGATATCGGCAAGATAAATTCGTTGTCAGTCGATCCCTTGGGGCATAAGGTGTGATGTACCCTGTGTGTGAGCCTGACGGGTGGGAGTACAGAGGATCACACACAGGGTACATCACAACATATACGCCTTGCGATCAGTTGACAACTTATAATGTCAAATAACCATACTCTTTTTATATACGATTGTTTTCTATTGAGGCTGGTCTGACGATGGTCGTACGTTGTTTACAGTACTAAATGTGTGCCCAATGAAGATGGTCAAAGGCAAAACAGTGGTGAAAATGATATGAAAAAATAACTAAAGCCACACGACTACACCATTCAATCCAGCATCTATCCATGAATTAAACAAAACTAGAAACAAGGTTGGATCATAAGGTTAATCCTTCAAATATGAAACATATAAAGCAAATACAAGATAAACAATCTATACACTTTATTAGAAATATGACATAAATTACACGTATATATATGGAAAGTATGTATACAACACCAAGAAAATATCAGCCTTTGTAATATGTGGAACATAGAGACGATGTGTTAGACTCAGTACTCTCGATAGACGGTGTCTTCGCATTCCACCCAGTGCTTGTCCACAAAGAACATGGGAATACAGTTATGGTTGGGACACACGTCGAATCTGAAACAAAGATATTTGTGATTTAGAGGCGGGTTGAGTTGAATTGAGTTGAGGTGAGGTTAGTTGTGGCGGGGTGCGATGCGGTGCGGTGCGGTGCGGTGCGGTGCGGTGCGGTGCGGTGCGGCGGGGTGCGGTGTGGTGTGGCGCGGTGCGGCGGGGTGCGGTGCGGTGCGGCGCGGTGCGGCGCGGTGCGGTGCGGTGCGGTGAAGCGAGGCGAGGCAAGGCGAGGCGAGGTGGGTTGACGTGACGTGACGTGACGTGACGTGACGTGACGTGACGTGACGTGACGTGACCCCTATTGTTGATCATTAGGACGTACAGTACAAAGCCTCCAATATCAAAGCCTATCAGGACTCACATCATCACTAACATAGCTACCAGTGGATGTTTACAATACTAGCGAATATTACAAATTGCTCGGTGATGGACAGAATTAACAGCCAAACAATGGTGACATAAAACGACTTTAATCACACGAGGATTTGGCAACGGCTATTCACCATCACTCTTTTTAATATTTTATATTTTATATGCAACCTGGCCCTAATGGAGATCCCCTTTAACATCAGACGGAAATATCGAATAATGCTGCATGTGAACAAAGCGACAATGTTTCTCTCCATGATTTCATTGTATATTATAAGCATGTGTTTACAAGTCAAAATAGGGATTGTATTGACATATTTTTTGTCACTGATGCATCAAATTAGAAATGTTCTCAAACCATAAAACGTTGTGAAAGTTTTACCGAGGCCTCGAACGGTGAAACCCTGATCAAACAACTTTTAAGCAAGAGTCGTGTAACGCTCTTTCAATTATTCCCAGAGAAAGCTTGCTTGATTGTAACTCCAAAGTTGTGAAAGTAGACACCAAAGTAACTCTTCACGTACTTTGGAATTAATTACTGCTATTTTAGACTTGTTAAACGTATTTTTAAAATGTAAGTTTCAGTGTCTTTGACTGAGGTTGTTGTATCGACACATGTTACAAGTAACTAGCATTTCTGTTACCCGCGTTGTTTGGGTACGATCTGACACAAACACAACCAGCACATGCAGGTACTTACTTGCAGACAGCGCCAGGGACGTCAGCACAAGGCTCATCAGCAAACATCTCGCAGGGATCCCAGGCACAGAAGCTCATGTAACCGAAGGATTGTTCTGTTGGGGGGCAGACATACTCCTCTTGCCGTCGGGCCAGCTTGCCTGCCTCTTCGCACACGGCTGTCGAGTAACATAAACCCATTAGTATCACATATACACACTTATATAGGCTGTCGTCATGGGTCTTATATATCGCTGAATATAAACTATATACTAAACATTCATATTTAGCGAGTGAGTAGGGTTTTACGTCGCTTCAGCAATACTCCAGCAATACCAGAAATGGGCTTCACGCATTGTACCATGTGGGGAATCAAACCCGGACCTTCGGCGTCATGAGCGAACGCTTTAACCACTAGGCTACCCACAGCCCTAAATCATCTTGAGGAAATCCCTGTGAGTGAGTGAGTGAGTTGGGTTTAACGCCGCTTTTAACAGTATTTCAGTTATATCGCGGCGTGTAAGCCTAATGTGGGAGGAAAGCCCAAAGTGATGCAGGTCTCAGACGTTTACCCCTTCGGTGAAACCCACGAGCACGGTAAGGTGCTGACAAACCTAGAAACACAATCTTGGCGAACCGGGATTCGAACCCACAATCATAGGTTTCTGGCGTGTCCAAGGGACGCAACTCTGCAAGGCGAATCGCGGCGACTTAGACGACTGGGCCACCCGTGCCCCCGAAATCCCTGTGAAGTAAGAAAACGAGAAGAATGAACTCACCCGCTCCGACTACGACAAGGAGGATACACAGAACCTTCATTGTTGTGTGTTCGTCAGATCGTCAGAATGGAAACACCGGCAATGACCAGACCAGGAACCGAGAGGGAATTTATACACCTCCGACCAACGCCAACTAGCGTCCGATGCCCACGACCAATTAGAACTTTCCTTGCAATTAAGATGTATTACTGATATAATTGCGTCGCTCAGAACACGAATCCAACAATGAGGTCCCCGGGCGGTCGAGCATCTGGGATGGTTGACGGTGACAGATCATGAGATATGTCATTTCGTAATTAGTTTCGCGTTGTTTATGCTGATCGAAATGTCGACCTTTTTTTAACTTGCAGATTAAAATGTGATGCTGGCTTGGGACACGTGTTTGCTTATATCCCAAAGCTAAAATAAATTTTAAAAATAATAATTTAGTAATGAAGAAAAAAAAAAAGTGAAGTAAAGTGAAGTGATGTAAAGTAAAGTAAAGTGATGTAAGGTGAAGACAAGTGATGTAAATTAAATTGAAGTGATGCGATATGATGTGATGTGATGTGATGTGAATTGATATAAAGTAAAGTGATGTGAAGTGATATAAGTGAAGTGAAGTGATGTGAAGTGAAGACAAGTGATGTAAATTAAGTGAAGTGATGTGATGTGATGTGAAGTGATATAAAGTAAAGGCGTGAAGTGAAGTGAAAAGAAGTGAAGTGAAAAAAAATGTCCGAATGATTTATTTAGTTTCATGGTTTTGTTTCATGTTTAGTATCACTGTATTGTTTCGTTTTATTGAGAAGGGTATTAATGAATATGTGTTTGTTCTTTTCGCATTATGGATGAAATATTGCTGAAAAATATTTACTTTCTCTCACAGACCATTTTCACTTTTTACCGAGAATTTCAACGTTTGTATTGTAGGATGAGATGTATTATTGCTATGCTGTAATTGAGTTCCATTGATGTGTGAGTGTGTGGGTGGGTGGGATGTGGGGGTGGAGGTGGGGGTGGGGGTGGTGGTGTGGGTGGGGTGTGGGGGTGTGGGGGTGTATTATGTCACTGGGCCACCCGTAGTTATAGTGATATAACTGGAATACACTCTTCAAAAAATGAAACGCACAGGTAGTATGTAGTTCACTGAACCTGACTAAACAAAAAAACCGGTAGTTATTGGAAAATGTTGGTGGACTGATATTCGACAAACGGTGACTCAAAACGCAGACATTGTCGATTTGCAATGTCTTAAACGGCATTGTTTTCACACTTGTTCAGGGGGCGGTCGGGTAGCCTAGTGGTTAAAGCGTTCGCTCGTCACGTCGAAGACCCGGGTTCTATTCCTCACATGGGTACAATGTGTGAAGCCCATTTCTGGTGTCCCCCGCCGTGATATTGCTGGAGTATTGCTGAAAGCGGCGTAAAACCATACTCGCTCACATGGCACGTGCAAGTTATGGCATTCGTAACTCGTAGTAGTGGCTAGAAAAAGGCAAGCATAAGCTGTCAAGCATGTCATTCAATTGTCAAGTTCGAAAATGCCGAGACTAAGCGCTGCCGATCGGAACATCGCCATAGGACGTATCCAAAGACGGGAATCGCAGTCTTCTGTTGCACGCCACTTCAACGTCCACCACAACACCATTTGCCGCCTTTGTGACCGATACACACAGTTCAATTCCACTGCAGACCGTCCGAGAACCTGACGACCAAGAGTTACCACCCCTGCACGGGATCGCTACATTCGACTGTTCCACCTACGTCATCGCAATGCAACAGCTTTGGATACTGCAGGACGCATCTCTGGTTTGAGGAGGATATCGGACCAGACTGTCAGGAACCATCTTCGCGAGGCTGGAATCCGACCCAGAAGACCAGTTATTGTCCCTGTTTTGCAACAGATCCATCGACAGCGACGCTTGCGTTGGTACCATACCTTACAGCTTTGGAATTTGAGAAACTGGAGCTTGAAAAATGTTGACAATTGAAATGCAAATCATTGACTTATGCTTGTCTTTTTATAGCCACTACCACGAGTTACGATGCCATAACTTGCACGTGCATTTTGCTTTACTGTTTTCCTCCATGCCATTTTTTGAACATGTGTGAAAACAATGCCGTTTAAGAGATTGCAAATCGACAATGGCTGCGTTTTGACGCACCGTTTGTCGAATATCGGTCCACCAACATTTTCCAATGACATATATCCACATATATACCGGCTTTTTGTGTAGTTGGGTTCAATGAACTACATACTTCTTGTGCGTTTCTTTTTCTGAAGAGTGTATTATTGAATTTTCTGTCCCTTTTGACACTAATGTGATTGACAAGATTCGGGAAAACAGGCAAATATGCGGACCTCGCTTTCGAAATGTCACCCTTGCATCCCAAGTACCAAGTTGTCCGACTCCAGATTGTCCTTGGTGCCTTAGTTTTGGTACCTCCCATTCTGTTGACCGACATTGGCGGAGTACCTGGGTTTGCTACCAGGAATACAGCCCTTCTGACAATCTGGGTAATGAAGAAGGCTCCAGTGTTGGGGAGTCTTCACATTCTCCGAAACGTTCTGGGTGTGTTTGACTAGGCAGCGCTTCCTGGGAGAAGTCCCATTCGCTGTCTGGGCTGCGTGTAGAGGGGGCAAGGGCCCTGAGCTGATGATGAGCCTCACCAGCTAGACTATGCAAGGATCACCCAAACCCTCTTTACTGCATTTTTTATTTTAATCTGTACAGAATAATGTGCATAGTTATAATGGGCCAAATTCACACCCTATAACAAGCTCAAAGCGCTACATTATTACCTCGGTCAATGGATCAGTGTGTACACGATTTTTATTCTCAACTCCCTGGGGAGTATACGACCCAAGTTGCCTGTTAGGAGTGTTCAATGCCAGGTGAACAGAGGCACATAGCGATCAAAGTCACCAGCTCAAGGAGACATCACATGTGCCACATGTGCTTCAGAGTGGGGCTGGATCGAAACCCTAGAAACTCTCAGGAGTCAAGCTGCGGTCACCCATCCAGCTACTCTCCGCCACCTACATTCTATACCAGCTCTATACACCGTGTATATTCTGGGTTAAACTTGTTTCACATCAACCTGTATTTATTACACGAAAATTTTAATGGATCGGGTGGACAGGCTCGATGACTTGGTTGATTGTATGTCTTACACGGACGATGTTCACGATGGTTGTTTGTTTGTTTGTTTGTTGTTTAACGCCGCACTCAGCAATATTCCAGCTATATGACGGCGGTCTGTAAATAATCGAGTCTGGACCAGACAATCCAGTGATTGAAATCATCACCATCGATCCACGCAATTGGGATCGATGACATGCATCAACCAAGTCAGCGAGCCTGACCATCCGATCCGGTTAGTCGCCTTTTACGACAAGCACAGTCGCCTTTTACAGCAAGCATGGGTTGCTGAAGACATATTCTACCCTGGATCTTCACAGGCCTGTTCGTTTCAGTAAGCCTATTCAACGTTCACACGTTTTAAACAAGCTTTCGCTGTTCTACAGTGTAATTAGAAAAAAAATCAAAATTCTGCACGAGTTCTGCACGCAAAGTGATTTTCTACCCCGGATCTTCGAGGGTCTGTTCACGATTTCAATCAATGGTTTGTCTAGACCTGACTCGAATATTAACAGACCGGCTGTAATATTGCTGAAGAGCATTTGGGAACACAAGACCCACGTTAGTTCTGCAAACCAGGGTCTTCGAAGGGACAAGCCGACGCTTTAACCACTAGGCTACCCCACTGCTATACCATGCGTGACTGTGATGTGTGTAGGCATGATTTCGTGATAACAAATAACTCGGCCACTCTGACATGAACAACCTAATGCTGATATCACTCGCATAATCTGTCTGAGTGGGCATGTAATTGACATGATTTATGGTGAAATCAACAACCCTGTCCGCGAGTCGTAACGCCACGCTAGCGTTAATTGAAATAAATGTCACCCAAATTAGCTGCTATTAACATCTACTAATGACTGATGATTTCAGCGTAGATTACCCCGTCTATATGACACAGGGACAAATACATTATCAATCGGTTTATTGTGGCTGGAAATGTCAAACGAGGATGAATGAATTCTACACAAGCATCCTTATATGTATATTTGAGTATGCGGCGAAAGTTTAAGTTATCTTCGCTGATTCCAAGGTAGAATGTTTGTTTGTTTATTTGTTTGCTTGTTTGTTTGTTGTTTAACGCACTTCTGATTGGCAAGAGTCAAAATATTATTTCATCACGTGTTATTGTCATTGGAATTATATATTAAATCGATATAGTCCCAAATAGTAACTGTTAAGGAAATCATTTCTTCAAAATTCAGAATGATCAGAACTGTTTTGGCTCAAAGAATCAGTATTACTTTTAAAAAATAGCATATTTTAGAAATCGTTACGATTGTTTTACAAAGCGTTCATGTGAATCAATATTAGACGTTGTTCTTGTACATGTGTTAGACTGCATGATTTGTTTGTTTTGTTTGTTTGTTTGTTTGTTTAACGCCGCACTCAGCAATATTCCAACTGTATGACGGTGATAAATAATCGAGTCTGACCAGACAATCCAGTGGTTGATATTATGAGCATTGATCCACGAAATAGGAATACCATGACATGCATCAACCAAGTCAGCGAGCCTGACCACCCGATCCCGTTCGCCTCTTTTACGGCAAGCATGGATTGCTGAAGACCTATCTACTCCGGATCTTGAATGTCGGTCAGATAAATTCGGGTGACAGCTTGAGCGATCAAAAACTGGGAAAGACGCTTAATGGTCGCCTAAACCCTGAAAATCATGTTGCTCTGTAACTACGCAAGCGTCTGCAACATCAATGAAACACTGCAGGTACAAGCCTTCTATTTATAGGCAGGCTGAGGAGGCACTACAGGTAGCTCAAAGGAGGTAGAAAAGAGGCAGAAGCATTGCCATGGTGTCTCAAGGGTTGCCGTGGTCGCTGAATGGGGGCACGGCGGTCGCCACAGTCATCGATCAATGCACGCCCAAAGGAGGGACAAGAGAGGCAGAAGCATCGCCCAGATTGACGGGGAAATTTGCAGCAGCACGCATCTATTACCTGGCGACCATTGGGCGACCACTGTGCCTTCATTCTGCAACAACGGCAATGCTTGTGCCTCCCTTCTGTCTCCTTTGAGCCACCTTTGAGCAACCAACGTCCTCGGCGACCTTTGTGCGACTGTTTTGAACATGTTCAAAAATTCACGGCGACCATGGCGTCCATGGCGATGTCTGAACCTCCCGTGTACCACCTTGGAACGACCTAGGCAACCATTCCGCCTCCTTTGAGCCTCCAAGGTCGACCAGGCAAATTTTATGGTCGCACACGGGAGGCACAAAGGTCGCCATCCTGTGAACAAAGGCCCCATTACTTAAATTTGCGGACGTAATTGTTGTCGACATCTGTTACAGGGAGTTCAACTTGGTTTATAGCAATGATCGGTGACTAACATGACATGACGTTCAGATATATATTCTATAAATATACACACATAAATATACAGTATTTACATGGAATTCAATATACATAGTTGCAGATGATCGATTGACCCTTGCGCTTGAGGCGACTGTTCAAACTCCTCTTGATTCCTTCTCGTCTATTCCTCCATAAATTTGTTTTTGCTGTTGTTTTATTTGTTGTTTAAAGCCGCACAATTCAAACCGGCTACCCACACGGACCGTGCCATTGGTTTAGGCTAACTTAACATATTGACACTCAGAAAACATGGGTAAAAAACCACAGGGCTTTTTTGTGTTTCTTTGCTGTTTAATGCTGCACTCAGCAATATTCCAGCTATATGACGGCGGTCTGTAAATAATCGAGTCTGGACCAGACAATCCAGTGATTGACATCATGAGCATCGATCTACGCAAATGGGATACGATGAGTCAAGCCTGACCATTCGATCCCGCATCGGCTGCTGAAGACCAATTCTATCAGGATCTTCACAGGAATCAGAGGTTTTGTAAAATTTTAATATAAAGGTTTTAATACCAGGAATTACATTATTAATAATAACCATGGGCGGATACAGCTTTTTTGAAAAGGGGGGGGTGCACAATTAAGATCTATTTATTGTCTTTGGTGGTAATTTATATACCCCCCGCACCCCCCTCTGTATCCGCCCATGATAACTATCCCATAAACAGCGGGCGGTAGGGTGGCTCAGTGGTAACAGTATCTTCAAGTAAGCATGGGCTGCTGAAGACCTATTCTATCCTGATCTTCACAAGTTTCTCAATTTCTTCCTGTCTATACAATGATGGTGATGACCAACTACCCAACTCTATCGGCAACACAATATAGACCTTAAATGTCATTATTTAAAGTTAGCATCAATATATAGAAAACAGTTACATGTGGGTGATAACAATTCGATAAAGAAATTACAATGATATCCTGATAAGCAGAAAGTGAAGGGACATTATTGACTCATCTACGTCACGTCATGTATGCACAACAACAACAACAACAACAATAATAATAATAATAACGTTGGTTGGTTGGTTTGTTGTTTAATGCCTCACTCAGCAATATTCCAGCTATATGACGGCGGTCTGTAAATAATCGAGTCTGGACCAGACAATCCAGTGATTGATATCATGAGCATCGCTCCACGCAATTGGGATTGATGACATGCATCAACCAAGTCAGACCCCCCGATCCCGTCAGTCGCCTTTTACGACAAGCACAGTCGCCTTTTACAGCAAGTATGGGTTGCCGAAGACAATATTTATAAAGATGATGATGATGATGATGATGATGGTGGTAATAGCAATACTATGAGACACGAATATTTACTAAAATAATAGTCATGAGGTTTACAATCTTTATTTCATGTCTAAATATTAGGACACAAGTCAACAACTAAGAAATGGCATTATGCACACATTTTTCACAGCTGTCATCATGGAGTGCCTTTTCTGCACACACTGGTCAAGGACTTTGTCTGATAACCCACTGGACACGCCAAGTCCTTCCCTGGATTGATGACATTGTCAGAATTGACTGATGGTGAATATTAGCCCACGCTAAGCCTCAAATGTAACATCTTCGCGGGGCAAGAGAGTTAACTGACTATAAAAGTCCAGTTTCCTCCCCTGCCAAACTAGGCTGGTATTATGGAGTAATATTTTGGCTGGACTAACGAGATTTCGGTCGATTGCATGATTTGCAAACTTAGCTACCACAGATATTTTCCAAATCTGTTCATGTTTTTAATTAAGGTGTTTACCTGATTGATGCACATCGAGAAGTAAGACCTGATTTATTACAGTATAGATCTTGTTAATCAATTATCGATCATATCGTCTTGACTTGGCGCCGCCATTTTGTTCGAAGCAAATGCAAGTGACATGAGAGGTGGAATATGATTGGTCAATGGGAGGGACATAGAAGGGACATAACTCGTAATATCCACTGGTGCTAATATAAGATTCTTTATATTAAACACTTTATATTAAAAACTGGCAGATTTTCAGTTAAATGATTGTTTAATATAAACTGCAAATATATTTATTATATATACACATCTAGCTTGGCATCCTTTTGTGAAAATAAATATGTTTAAACCATATCCACGGGTGGCGCTATGATAGAGCCCAGAAATGCCAGTTCGGCAAGGATGGAAAGTGGATGTTTACATTCAGTTAACTCCCTTGCCGTGGGAAGATGAAAATATAAATAAATATTAAATGTATCTATGTAGTTGTGTGGACATATATGAAGTACTGACATTGGGATGAAGAACAGTCAGGTTGGAGGGGGGTAGCCAGGTAAGGGGGGGGGGGGGGGGGGGGGGGGCGTAGAAAGGGTTAGCTGAAAAATAGAGTATTTTTACACTGGATTTGTTTGTTAACTCTTAAGAGACTGACAGTCTGGCATCTAATCCGAAAATTTGGTGGATTAGAGTGAGTGTTGTTGTTGTTGATGTTGTTTTTGTTTTAAGATCATGGTAAGCAATATTCCTGCAAGAATAGTTGCCCAGTCAAATAGTCATGAGCGAGCAAAGGTGTGCCAAATTAGATAGTGAGTTGGGTGAGCAGTATTTTAGTCTAAACAAGAAAAGCCCAAACAAACAAAGCTCCGCGTCATTTTCTTCAACACAGTGAGTGAGTGAGGGGGATTTAAGGCCAGCTTGAACAGTATTTCAGTTATATCAGAACGTGTCAGTTTGATGTGGAGGAAAGCCCGAAGTGATGCAGGTCTCAGATGTTTACCTCTTTGGTGAAACCAACGGTGGTGATGACAAACCTAGAAACAATATCAGGGTAAACCGGGATTCGAACCCACAATCATAAGCTTCTGGCGTACCCAAGGGACGCAACTCTGCACAGCAAATGTTGGCGCCTTATACGACTTGGCCACCCTTGCCCCCTGTGCCAAACTAGTGATAAGAGAGATAAAGATGGTGACGTCACTTCCGGAATAAAGCGTTGATGGTAAATTGTTCCAGGTTAATTAGCACAATCGAAATTATTTATAATATTCTTGATAATCAAGGATGCATGAAACGAATTCATTTTTTTCAAATTTCAAATTCTAAATCTTCCAGTGATTTGGGCGATATTTGGTACTATGAAACAATCAACAAATATTCTGATTGGCAAGAGACAAATTACCATTTCATCTCGTGTTGTGAATGTTATTGGAATTATATATCAAATCGATATATTCCTAAATAGTAACTGTTAAGCAAATAATTTCTTCAAACTTCAGAATGATAAGAACTGTTTTGGCTGAAAGAATCAGTATTTAAAAGAAATATGCATATTTTAGAAATCGTTACGATTGTTATAAAAAGCGTTCGTATGAATTAATATTAGACGTTCTTTCACATGGGTTCGACTGCATGATTTGTTTGTTTGTTTGTTTAACGCCGCACTCAGCAACATTCCAGCTACAACGTGACGGCGGTCTGTAAATAATCGAGGCGGGACCACACAATACAGTGACTGACATCATAAGTTCGCCGCTTCTTAGGACAAATCTTACCCGGAATCTTGGTACAAGACGACATGACCATACAACGTTTTGCTGAGGCGAGTGGGCGAGTGAGTTGGTGAATTGTGTTTAACGCCGCTTTTAACATTATTCCAGTTACATCGCGGTGTGTCAGCTTAATGTGGGAGGAAAGCCCGAAGTGATGCAGGTCTAAGACGTTTACCACTTCGGTGAAACCCACGAGCACGGGTATGGTGCTGACAAACCTAGAAACATAAGAAGGGTGAACCGGGATTCGAACCCACAATCATAGGTTTCTGGCGTTCCCAAGGGACGCAACTCTGCACAGCGAATTGCGGAACCTTAGGCGACTGGGCCACCCGTGCCCCCTTGAGGCGAGTGAGGTTGGAATGACTTGTTTAGTCCTTCCAAAAATGTTAAACGTTAAACTTTAATTTGAACATAATCACGTCATACATCTAATGTGTGTAATTGTTCATAACTAGACGTCCTCTTGAAAAACGACTTTTACCACTCATTTTATCCACATTTATGATCGTAATAAATTGCAAGAATAAGAAAGAAAACATACTTTTTAAGCCATAAGAACGTGTCAAATTCCTTTTTAACAAGTTTTCTGTAACTTTATTTTTCGTCATTTGCTGCGAGGGACTTAAAGGGGAGCATTATCACAACCCGTCGTTTCGGTTTCTCTCGCAACCCAGTTGTGTGACCAGTTAAACAACAATACCCAGTCTTGACTACAACGTCGTCAGTATCCCGCAGGGTTTATTAGCTGACGGGATGATCTTTTCACACATGAATCTGAACTCTGCGCTACAGTTATATGTCCTCCAGTTGTGGGAGACCCGTGACATAATCATACAGTCTTCCACTCTGTAAGACAGATCCGCCTCCCAGTTGGTGAACGGCCCAACTGTCGCCCCTGTCAGCCATGTCATGGAGCCACCTTCTCGCTTTCCTCCAAGCCACAATGTAGCAGCTGCAACGATAAAAAAAAAAATCATCATCATCATCATAATCATAATCATCATCACCATTATCAACAACATCATCATCATCGTCACAATGTAGCAGCTGTAACGACTGCAAACCCAAACAAGACCATTATCATCAACATCGTCATCAACGTCATCATCAACATCATCATCATCAACGTCATCATCAACATCATCATCATCAACATCATCATCGTCGTCATCATCATCATCATCGTCATCATCATCGTCACAATGTAGCAGCTGTAACGACTGCAAACCAAAACAAGACCATTATCATCAACATCGTCATCAACGTCATCATCAACATCGTCATCAACAACATCGTCATCAACGTCATCATCAACATCGTCATCAACGTCATCAACATCATCATCATCATCATCATCAACAACATCATCAACGTCATCATCAACGTCACAATGTAGCAGCTGTAACGACTGCAAACCAAAACAAGACCATCATCATCAACATCGTCATCAACATCATCATCAACGTCGTCAGTGTTAACAGTTTGGCCATCCTCACTGAACACACAATGTTGCCGCGTTAACGACTAAAACCACCATTATCATATTCGTCGTTTTCAGCGTTGTCATTGGGATCAATCTGACCATCGTCACAAAACTGTAGTTAAAATGTAGTTTAAATACAATCATAACTATACTACCCATCATAATCATCATCATCAGTCTGACCATCATGACTTAATAGCCATCGACATCAACGACGTCATAGGCATCACCGTCGTCTTCATCACCACCGTCGTCTTCATCATCATCGTTGTCATTGGCATCAGTACCACCCTCGTCATCGTTTACACCACTTTAAGCAGCAATACCATCAATATCACCAAGCATACGCTTCTCACAGTTTCGTTATGGGGACTCAAACCATAGGTGTTGCTTGAAGATACTGTTACCATTGTGCTACCCTACCGCCCGCTCTTTATAGATAGTTGTTATTAATAATGTAATTCTTGGTTTTGAAACCGTTACATTTTCCTGTAAAGATCCTGATAGAATTGGTCTTCAGCAGCCCATGCTTGTCGTAAAAGGCGACAAACAGGATCGGATGGTCAGGCTCGCTGACTTGGTTGGTGCATGTTATCGTATCCAAATTGCGAAGATCGATGCTCATGATGTCAATCACTGGATTGTCTGGTCCAGACTCGATTATTTACAGACCTCCGTGATATAGCTGGCCTATTGCTGAAAGAAGCGTTAAACACAAAACAAAACAAAAAAAGCCCTGTGTTTTTTTCGCATGTTTTCGTAACACAGAGGTTTCGTGTGAGTGTCAATATGTTAAGTTAGCCTAAGCCAATGGCACGGTCCGTGTGGGTACCCGGTAGGAATTGGTCCCAAGCACTGTAATGCTAGGCGTAAGAGGCTCAGAGATCAAACTGATCGGTTAATCAATCTTGGTGGTCATATCCCCGCCGTTTGGAACATACCTCATAACATTAATCACTGGTTTGTCTGGTCCATTAGTAACAGAGTCAGAATATGACTTTTAAACAAGAAACAAAGTTCCGTTTTATATTCACATTATCCGACGTCCATGGTAAGTATAGCTCATTGAAGTGAATGTGGCGATCTCTTGTGTAAACATACCGACGTCCATGGCTAGTATAGCTCATTGAAGTGATTCTGGCGATCTCTTGTTTTAACATACCGACATCCATGGCTAGTATAGCTCATTGAAGTGAATCTGGCGATCTCTTGTGTAAACATACCGACATCCATGGCTAGTATAGCTCATTGAAGTGAATCTGGCGATCTCTTGTGTAAATATACCGACATCCATGGCTAGTATAGCTCATTGAAGTGAATCTGGCGATCTCTTGTGTAAACATACAGACATCCATGGCTAGTATAGCTCATTGAAGTGAATCTGGCGATCTCTTGTGTAAACATACCGACATCCATGGCTAGTATAGCTCATTGAAGTGAATCTGGCGATCTCTTGTGTAAACATACCGCCATCCATGGCTAGTATAGCTCATTGAAGTGAATCTGGCGATCTCTTGTGTAAACATACCGACGTCCATGGCTAGTATAGCTCATTGAAGTGAATGCGGCGATCTCTTGTGTAAACATACCGACGTCCATGGCTAGTATAGCTCATTGAAGTGAATCTGGCGATCTCTTGTGTAAACATACCGACATTCACGTAAGCAATGATACAAAAATCAATTTCACTTCAAAATGAAGTCAGGATATTGATTTCTCCAAACGAAAAATGTTTAAAAAGTTCATTTGTAATTTTTGTTCCATATAACACAAACAAACACCTCAAATTTGCATTTGAAATGATTTTAATGAATAGAATTCACAATTCAAATACCGACTGTTTGTTTCCGCTTTGTTTGTTTGACCCTTGCGCTGGAGCCGACTGACTGTTCCATGTTCAAACGCCTCTTGATTCCTATTTCTCCATAAAGCTTTTTTGGTTGTTGTTGTTTTGTTTGTTGTTTAACGCCGCACTCAGCACTATTCCAGCTATATGATGGCGGTCTGTAAATAATCGAGTCTGGATCAAATAATCCTGTGATTGACATCATGAGCATCGATCCACGCAATTGGGATACGATGACATGCATCAATCAAGTCAGCGAGCCTTAACCCCCGATCCCGTTAGTCGCCTCTTACGACAAGCATAGTCGCCTCTTACGACAAGCATAGTAAGCCTATTCAACGTTCACAACCAGATTTAGCAGTTCTACAGTGTAATTAGAAAAATTCAAAACTCTGCACCAGTTCTGCACGCAAAGTGATTTTCTGCAAGAAGGGTACATTCCTGCACTCAGTAGATTTCAGCAAAACGCGGAATACAGCAGGATATGACGGAACAATGCTTACCTCGCGCATCACCGATAGCAGCCAAATACTTGTCTTTGTAAGATTCATCCGTGACGGTCAGTCGACCTCCAACGCCGTCACAGAAACTGACCGCCGACGTGTAGTTACGCTTGTTCACCCATTCCCCATACAGACACTGACCAGTGGGTTTGTGGTATAAAAACGGCTCTGGACACAGATCTGAAATGAGCGAGTAGGTTAGCACGTATCGATACTTTAAAACACCTTACGAAAATGAAAGGAGAGTTATTTCTATAAACAGCGCAGTGGAACTGAATATTTGAGTGTGGTTTAACTTAAAATGAAAACTAATCTTAAATTTGTATGACTTACCTTTTTTGAATGGAACCAGGAACTAAACGTGATAACCTATTATAAAACTATGGAGATCTATAAGGAACTAAACGTGATTACCTGTTATTATATGAAGGAAAGATGAATCAACCTCAAATGAAAGAAACGAATGCTAATTCTAACAGTTACTCCTAAGGGAGTCTTAACACTGTCTAACATCATGTCTGACACCATCTCTCTAACCATCTACCTAACCAGCTGTCTAGCGAACTATGACCAAGTAACTAACTGATGCGCGCTACCGCCTTATATTTGTTCACAACCCTCACATTTCACGTGCAGTCACAGCCATACGTTGGTGCGTTCAGGCGATGCGATCGTTATGCATCGGGTGCGTTTTGGAGAACAGATTCTTTATTTAAAACTAACACGAGTGCACGTGAAGCGCGATCTATAGGAACCGGGTGCGTTTTGGAGCACATTTTTAATGAACAGACATTTCTTCAGAACACAAGTATTAGCTTAAGAAAGGTTCGGTCTTGACTGCCGTCGAGTTCGGACGTCTTTTGCTTCTCAGCAACTTGTCTAGTGTTATACAGCGCACTTGACTGTTTATGATACTTCCTCTTTTGTTCTTTGGCTTTTGATTTCTCTTGTGTTAGAGTGCATTCAACCTTTTAATTTCTATTTGGTGTTTGCTGATTGTTACAGTCAGTTGTTGGGGATTGTCCTCGACAATGGCTGACAACAGAATGGAATGTGAGGAAGGATTTAAAGTCGTTGCTTCAGGGAGGAAGCGAATCGGCCGTATTCCAGATGGTACTTCTAAAAAAGCCTGTGTTGCCAAGCAACCAAATACTGTTCCTCCTACTCCAAGGTCTGATCTTACTTTTGTCTTTGATGAACCACCTCGGGTCAAATCAACCACTGTTATCTTCAAAGCCGATGTAGATGAATATGCTGATGGTTCACCGACCCTCTGTCAACTTATGACACAGCGTGCTTTGGCTAGAGCCTTGGCTAAGATCACTACAGAAATAGTCAGTGTTAAGCGGATGGCCAGGGGAGATGTTAGTGTCACTGCAAAAACCGTTGAGGCTGCCAAAACACTTTTGCAAGTCACAGAACTTGATGAACATTTTGTCACCCCTCATGAGCCTGAATCCTTAATGAGAACACGTGGAGTCATCTATGGTATTGATCTGGATATTGAGATGAATGAAATTGAGGACGAGTTGAAACCTGTGTTACCTCTAATGTGCTCTGCTGTGCGTCTGACTCGTGGGCCTGATAAAGTTCCCACCAAATCTGTTCTTCTTACATTTACTGGCCAGTCTTTACCGGATCATGTTGTCATTTTCTTCCAGAGATTTCCAATCCGGATATATGTTCCTCCTGCTCTTCGATGCTTCAAGTGTCAGTCCTTTGGGCATGTCTCTGCTAAGTGTAGAAGCACTCATCATGTGTGCGCTAAATGTGGAGGGAAGCACAAATACGAGGAGTGCAATGAAAGTTCCCTTAAATGTAAGAACTGTGGTGGTGCACACTCTGCGGCATATAAAGGTTGTATTAAATACCAGGAAGCTGTCCAGATTCAGAAAGTCCGAGTGGAGGGTAAGTTGTCTTATTCTCAGGCTGTTCGACAGGTGCGTGGAGATTTTGATGTCGCTCAGGTTCCAGCAGTCCCTAAGCCACCTCCTGCAGCTAAACCACTGTCTCAGGTTGTTACAATTTCTGATGTTGTGTCTTCTCCTGTCATGGTGACTGCTAGTACTCAGACTGAGACTCTTGAAGTTGAATGTCAGACTGATCCTGTTGTTGACATCATGCCTGAATCATCTTGCAAACCTCTATTTAACAATGTCTCTCCTGTTGACTTTCTCAACTTTGTTATTTGTATAGTTGCTAATCTTGGCACTACTCGTGCATTCAAGTCTGATGGTCTTCAGACGATAGCGTCAGCTGCCCAGTCCCTCTTGGGGTTAAGATTGTCCCCTGATGATCTGACGAGCATGGTTAAGGGTCAACAATGGAAGTCTTAATCCATCCTTCTTATGGATCTCTTGATGCTAGATCACTCAGTGCTAAAGGTCCAGGATTTAAAGTTTGTATTAAGTTTTGACCCAGATGTTTTGTCTTCCGGAGACATTCTTGACTCCTAACCAGCGATTATGTTGGGAAGGTTATGTCTGCCTACGTAAAGATCGTCAGTTTGGTTTTACAGGTGGTAGTGCTAAACTCACTCACTCACTGTCGTTTAGTGAAATAAGGTTCAACCATCCCATTTACAAGGGAATGAAGTCATTCTTCATTTGAAGGATAAAAAAATCAGTCTCCATTTTTAATGTCTCTAATAACGCTATTGCTATCTCTGATGACCATGGGTCTCTGTTGAATATGTCAGCCAATCTTAAAGTAGTGTGTGGTGCTTTTAAAGCGTGTGGCAGTTTCACTAGTCTATGAACTATCTAGGTACTTAGCAAACCTTTATTATGGGCAAGGTGTACATGGGCCTAGTTGCCCGAACACCTATAAAACTTTCTAACAATCAATCAATCAATATTAGCTTACGCAGTGATGCGGCCATAAAATCCGCTGCTTCAATTGGAGATGGTTATTGCGATTTGAAACCTCTGATTCTTATAAGCAAAAAACATGTTATAATTGTGTTTGACACCGCTTTGAATAGTATTTCAGTTATATCACGGCGTGTCTGCTTACGGTGGGAGGAAGCCCTGATGCAGGCAGTTTCGTCAATCCCACAATAATTTAGCATCAAACAGCGGAGTATGAACATGATTTTACGCCGCTTTCAGCAATATTCCAGCAATATCACAGCGGGGAACACCAGAGCGTGGCTTCACTTACAACGAGCGGAAAAGTGGCAGTCATCGTGTTAACCTTTCCACAATAATTGTTCTGTTCCAGAATCGTGAGTGAGTATGGTTTTACGCCGCTTTTAGCAATATTCCAGCAATATCACGGCGGGGGACACCAGGCTTCACACATTGTACCCACGTCGGGAATCGAACCCGGGTCTTCGGCGTGACAAGCGAACGCTTTAACCACTAGGCTACCCGACCGCCCTTGTTCCAGAATAGGCTGATACTCGAAGGGAGCATCCATTTGATATAAACTGAAGTACAAAAGAAAGTACACACCCCTAAAATATCATATATTACGCATATGGTTGAAAAAGTTGTTACATTTTTGGCGCTATCGTAATGTAATGAACAAAACCATTGAGAGCATATCGCAGAAACGTAACCTTGACATTATGATAGGCAACAAAAGCACACATTGTGAAAATGGCAATTTTCTCCATTTGCACGTGCAATGTGCGTAGAAACAGTATAAAAGGCAGTGGATTCTATCGTTCATTACACATTCAACGAAAAAAACACAAGACAAATGCCACGTTTAACAGCAGCGGAGCGAGAGAGAGCCGTGGGAATGTCCCAAGTGGGGGCGTCGAACAGTCACATCGCAAGGACCCTTGGCTGCACCAGGCAAACCATTATCAGACTCCTTCGTCGTGTCAACCAGACTGGCCAGACATCCGACCGCCCGAGAAGAGGAAGACCGAGAGTGACGACCCCTGCAGAAGACCGGTACATACGCACATTACACCTGCGCAACAGGTTCCTCACCATGGCATCAACAGCGTCGACAGCGTTAGGTCACCACATCAGCAGGAACACAGTCATGAGACGACTACGAGCTGCCGGTATCCGGGCTTATCGACCATTCCGTGGGATGACCTTGACCGCTCAACACCGTATCAGCCGTCTTCGCTGGGAAAGAAGGGTCAGACGCTGGCAACGTCGTGACTGGTCACGAGTCCTCTTTACCGATGAAAGTCGATTCAACCTCTACCATGCTGACGGTAGAGTGAGAGTCTACCGACGTAGAGGCGAGCGACTGGCTGGAGCATGTGTCCAACAGGTTCATCCTTTTGGCGGAGGCAGCGTTATGGTTTGGGGAGGCATTTGCGGCGAACAGAAGACGGATTTGGTCATTCTCCACCAGACCCTGACAGCCCAGAGGTACAGGGACCAAGTGTTACAGCCGGTGGTGATCCCCTTCATGCAGGGGCAAAGGCAGGGGTTTCTTTTTCAGCAAGATAACGCCCCACCACACACCGCTAGACTCACTATGGACTTTCTGAACCGTCAGAACATTCAGCTTTTGCCTTGGCCGTCACGCTCTCCGGACTTGTCACCCATTGAACACCTGTGGGACCATCTCGGTAGACAGTTGCGACGACGTGCACAGCCACCAACCACCATACCACAGCTGGAACAGGCTCTGCGAGAAGAGTGGCAGCGGATCCCTAATGACGTCATCCGACGGTTGACCTTTTCCACGAGAAGGCGTGTCCTGGCTTGCATTAACTCAAATGGGGGTCATACGAGGTACTGAGACCACTCGCTTGGCCTTCATACCTGGGACTGTCATCATTTCTACAAGTGTGATTTTTGATGAGTGACCGCCTGTGGACGTTATTGTCAACTGAAAAGTTTTATGTGGCCACAAATCTTTAAATCCATTCTACACATGTTTGAAAATGACTCAACAATGACATTAAACATTACAATCACAATAAAGTTTGCCCTGTCTTCTTTTACTGTCAGAATAGTGGGGTGTGTACTTTCTTTTGTACTTCAGTTTATATGGGTGGGGAGAATTGTTTTTTTAGAACAAACTACTTTTGTTGAAAACTAAATTGAAAATTTTATCAAACTGGTCATTGCTTTTCACCACTGCCAACAAACTATTCATTTTTGGCATATATCGGAATAAACTATTCATTTAAAAAATCTGTTGAGAAATCAAATGGATACTCCCTTATATACTATGATCTATTTTATAACCCAAATTGTGTATTTTTAGTTGTATAAGAGTGACATGCACACACGGATCTATTTAACACGTTGTTGTCGGAACAAGCCTACACGTGGTGACGTGGCACATTATAGAATTCGAATATAACTACGGAATGACAACATATTATTACCCCATAAGATTCCTACATGATAAAACTCTTCATCTCACAAAAATGCCATACATTCGAGCTTCGGGTGAATTCAATTTCAATGCAATGCACAAAAGACTATTCGATGAGCAGTCAGTGACTATTCCTCCAGCAGTCAGGGACTAGTGGCTATTCGACTAGCATTCAATGACTAGTGACAAATCGATTAGCAGAGACTATTCGACCAGCAGTCAGTGACTATTCGACCAGCTGTCAGTGACTAGAGACTATTCGACTAGCAGTCAGTGACTAGTGACTATTCGACTAGCAGCCATAGACCATTCGACCAGCAGTCAGTGACTAGTGATTATTCGACTAGCAGTCGGTGGCTAGTGACTATTCGACTAGCAGCCAGAGACTATTCGACCAGCAGTTAGTGAGTAGTGACTATTCGACTAGCAGTCAGAGACTATTCGACCTGCATTTAGTGACTTGTGACTATTCGACTAGCAGGCAATGACTAGTGACTATTCGACTAGCAGCCAGAGACTATTCGACCAGCAGTTAGTGAGTAGTGACTATTCGACTAGCAGTCAGAGACTATTCGACCAGCAGTCAGTGACTAGTGACTATTCGACTAGCAGTCAGAGACTATTCGACCAGCAGTCAGTGACTAGTGACTATTCGACTAGCAGTCAGAGACTATTCGACCTGCATTCAGTGACTTGTGACTATTCGACTAGCAGGCAATGACTAGTGACTATTCGACTAGCAGCCAGAGACTATTCGACTAGCAGTCAGTGACTAGTTACTATTCAACTAGCAATCAGTGACTATTCGACCAGCAGTCAGTGACTAGTGACTATTCGACTAGCAGTCAGAGACTATTCGACCAGCAGTCAGTGACTAGTGACTATTCGACTAGCAGTCCGTGACTAGTTACTATTCGACTAGCAGCCAGAGACTATTTTGACCAGCAGTTAGTGAGTAGTGACTATTCGACTAGCAGTCAGAGACTATTCGACCAGCAGTCAGTGACTAGTGACTATTCGACTAGCAGTCAGAGACTATTCGACCAGCAGTCAGTGACTAGTGACTATTCGACTAGCAGTCCGTGACTAGTTACTATTCGACTAGCAGCCAGAGACTATTTTTACCAGCAGTTAGTGAGTAGTGACTATTCGACTAGCAGTCAGTGACTGGTGACTATTCGACTAGCAGTCAGAGACTATTCGACCAGCAGTCAGTGACTAGTTACTATTCGACTAGCAGCCAGAGACTATTTTGACCAGCAGTCAGTGACTAGTGACTATTCGACTAGCAGTCAGAGACTATTCGACCAGCAGTCAGTGACTAGTGACTATTCGACTAGCAGTCAGAGACTATTCGACCTGCATTCAGTGACTTGTGACTATTCGACTAGCATGCAATGACTAGTGACTATTTCACTATTTGATATGAGACTATTTGATTAGCAGTCAGTGACTAGTTACTATTCGACTAGCAGTCAGTGGCTATTCGAACTAGCAATCAGTGACTAGTGACTATTCGATTAGCTTACACTGACTAGTAACTGTTCGTTTATTCGACTAGCAGTCAGTGACAAGTGACTATTCGACAAGCAGTCAGTGACTAGTGACTTTTCGACTAGCAGGCAGTGACTAGTGACTATTTCACTATTAGTCAGTGACTAGTAACTATTCGACTAGCAGTCAGAGACTATTCCACTAGCAGTCAGGGATCATCCGATTAGCAGTCAGTGTCTAGTGACTATTCGACTAGCAGTCAGTGACAAGTGACTATTCGACTAACAGTCAGGGACTGTTCGACTTGCAGTGACTAGTGACTATTCGACTAGCAGTCAGAGACTATTTGACTAGCAGTCAGTGACTAGTTACTATTCGACTAGCAGTCAGTGGCTATTCGACTAGCAATCAGTGACTAGTGACTATTCGACTAGCAGTCAGAGACTATTTGACTAGCAGTCAGTGACTAGTTACTATTCGACTAGCAGTCAGTGGCTATTCGACTAGCAGTCCGTGACTAGTTACTATTCGACTAGCAGCCAGAGACTATTTTGACCAGCAGTTAGTGGCTAGCAGTCAGTGGCTATTCGACTAGCAATCAGTGACTAGTGACTATTCGATTAGCTTACACTGACTAGTAACTGTTCGTTTATTCGACTAGCAGGCAGTGACTAGTGACTATTCGATTAGCAGGCAGTGACTAGTGACTTTTCGAATAGCAGGCAATGACTAGTGACCAGTCGACTAGCAGTCAGAGACTAGTGACTATTCGATTAGCAGTCAGTGACTAGTGACTTTTCGAATAGCAGGCAGTGACTAGTGACTTTTCGAATAGCAGGCAATGACTAGTGACCAGCCGACTAGCAGTCAGAGACTAGTGACTATTCGACTAGCTTACACTGACTAGTGACTGTTCTTCTAGAAGTGAGTTGACGCGTGCCTCTGAGACCGAGTTGACTGCGTGTCATTGTGCCGACCGTATCTCTTGTTTTCTTGCTTTTTTGGTCGAGATTAATTTACAGGTTTACACCCACGACAGCGTAATCTATACCTGAAACAATATATCAAGCTGCGCGGAAACATAATTTGCATATTTGTCTCAAAAGGATGGTACTTTTTAATTTTTATTTTTGAAAACACCTGATGATGGAGGACTACTTTATACATGACACTCCAGTACTTCAGAGGTACAGGTCTACTTCAGTCAGTGCTTTAATCTTTTTGCTGAATACGCAAAATCGATAGATCAATATAGAAGTATCAGCAGCATTGTTTGATGGCCTAAATTTCTAAAGTCACCTGACGTTTTATGAATATCAATAATAACCATCAATATAACACGCAACACACTTCGTCGCTATTAATCTGTCTATTGATCTGCTATTGGTCTGCTATTGGTCCGTCTATTGCCTACTGTAGTGTCTACTGCACGAACTGATCTACTCATATGTACCTTAAATCACGAGATCAGATTGTACTTTGAGGTCAGATTGTACATTGAGATCAGGTTGCATTTTGAGGTCAGGTTGCACTTTGAGATCAGGTTGCACTTTGAGATCAGACTGTACTTTGAGGTCAGATTGCATTTTGAGATCAGATTGCACTTTGAGATCAGATTGCACTTTGAGATCACATTGCACTTTGGGGTCAGATTGTACTTTGAGATCAGATTGTACCTTGAGACCAGATTGTACTTTGAGATCAGGTTGCATTTTGAGATCAGATTGCACTTTGAAATCAGATTGCAATTTGTGATTAGATGGTACTATGAGATCAGATTGCACTTTGAGATCAGATTGCAGTTTGAGATCAGATTGTACTTTGAGATCAGATTGCACTTTGAGATCAGATTGCACTTTGATCTTAGATTTAATAACAATTTCACAAAATTAGTTTTAACCTGTTTTGTCTCGTACAATTAGAATACATCAAATACAACAATCAGAACGTCCATATCTCGTACCTCCAACACCCCATCCGTAATAGTTTACATCATTGCTGTCTGTGAATGGCGTGGCGTTGGAGAACGTTTTGCTGGTGTAGCATTTGTCGTTGCCGTAGAAGAAGGACGAACAGTGGAGGTCTTGGTAGCACGTGTGGATGCAGTCAGAGAATTGTGACGTCAACCCCACGTGACTAACGTCAAGGACGTTGGTGTATATCAACGTGATCGTGATGGCGGTCATGGCGTCTGTAACATAGCAACATGGAATGGCGGTCACTTTCTTTGACATTAAATAATACATCATCTGTGAATCAACACTACGAACTAAACTGTAGTGATTTATAGCGGGTAAGAATATGTTTCCCCCTAGCACCCTATGCTTGTCAAAACTGGCGACAGGGTGGATGGGGTAGATTCTGTGAATTACGATGGACGCCGTCTGGGGATGACCGCATCCACTCACCCACTTAACAAAACTGGTATCTTTCGGCAAGCAATGATTACTTTGTTTCTGATCTGAAATCTCAACAGAACACATGTCTTTATCGACCTACTTGAAGTAACTACTGATAAAATACTGAAAAAGTATGCGGGCCCTCCCAATGTCAGTCAAAAGATTGGGACAACTTGGTACTTGGGATGCAAGCGTGACATTTAGAAAGTAGTAGTAGTAGTAGTAGTAGTAGTAGTAGTAGTAGTAGTAGTAGTAGTAGTAGTAAGAATAAAAGTGTTAAAATATATAAAATGCAGCAAACAGGTTTTGGGTGATCCTGGCACAGTCAGGTTGGCTAGGCTCATCATTAGCTCAGGATTCTTACCCCCCTCTACACGCAGCCCAGACAGCGAATGGGACTTCTCCCAGGAAGCGCAGCCTAATCAAACCCAACAAGACCTTTTCGGAAGACGTGAAGACTCCCCAACAATCAAGCCTTCTGCATTACCCAGATTGTCCGAAGGGCTGTATTCCTGGCAACGAACCTAAGGCACCGAGAACAATGGGGAGTCGGATACTGACTCCCCACACGTTGACGGTTTCGAGTTGGAAGTGACAGGCCCTGAGCAGCAAACAGAAAGCCTTCTCTTTCATTTTTCAGGCCAGCTGACTTCATCCAAGCGAAGGACTCTGCGAGGTTGCTGATCTTCTCAACACACTGCACATAAACTCACGTTTATAGCCTCTCCTTGAGATATGGCACCTCGCTTGGTTGACACTTATTTCTGTGTCGTCAAGCAGTACAGAACCATCAACAAAAACAACATTGACATTGAAATAATGTCCCACATACATGGCTCGTTAAGAAAACTGTGGAATGCCTTGTTGTCAACATGAGTCTTGGCATGCTTCACAAGAGGATCATCAGACAAATAGACATATGCAAAAGTGCATAATACAATTCTATCATGAAGAGCCTCTACGATAATCAAACCACGCCCTCCCATTATGAGTGGTAAATCTAAGAGTTTGAGGGAAGAGTTAGGGTGTTGGGGTGGTGAGATGTAACTTTATTTTGAGCGTTCGGCTCTGAACTTCAGATTTTCTTAAGGCTACATGTGTACTCTGCATTCTGGAGTTAGTCCCTAGCCATCATCCCTAAGTACGTATAGGCCTGACCTTCCATGAGATTATCAACGTTTCAGATGAAGAATGTTACATTTGTCGACAATGCTGTTTTCGGTGAGCATCCTCCATTCGCAATAAGTTCAAGGTCACCCATGTAAAGGAGGCGAGAAAGGAGTATTGGGGGTCTGTGCCGAGGCGGTCCAGGATGATAACATTCCTCGCTTCTAAGCAAAAGGCTTAATGGATGTAGTGACAAACAGAAAAGCGAAGGACTAAAAGAATCGCCCTGAAATATTCCTCTTCTTATAGAAATGGGTTCCGAATCGAAGTCACCATCTGCCCTTGCGAATACATCTCAAGTTGAGTTGACCAGCAATTCAATAAAGACTTGAGTAAAACAAGCAGTCGCTCGGGGAGGTCAATACATTCCAGTGACCTCAAAAATCATTTGTGAGGTACAGAATCATTAGCTTTGCTGTGGTCTATCCAACACTTTGAGAGGTTACGGTGGTAAGTTTGAACCAGTAATTGATCCTTACAACCCCAACATCCAAAGTTTCGGGGATCAGTCACATCACTTTTCTTTAGGAGAAGTAGTGTTCGACCTTTGCACAACCAAGTGCTTAATATATACTGAACCGCAAAAGAAACGTCACCCCAAGTAACATTGCATGAAAAGTTGTCATTTAAATATCTGTGTATTTCTTGTCAAAATTTCTAAAACTTAACATCACCTGGTCCGGAAAAATGACATTTGATGATAAAAAAAACAAAGCAGATGACAATGAAACCGATCACTCAAACGCATCACGGCAACGGCCATGGTAACCCGATGCACGTCAGCTCCGTGCAAATTGAAATGCACATGCGTTCCCCCATGTCTTGGCCTATAAAAATCCATCCAGATCGGATAACATTCATTCGTTATTCAATTTCTACTACATGCCAAGACTGACAAGAAAGCAGCGACACCAAGCCCTTTGACGATTACAAGCTGGATAAACCCAACGGCAAGTAGCCAATGAATTTCAGGAAGAGACGACTAACGGGTCGGGTGGTCAGGCTCGCTGACTTGGTTGATTGATGTCATCGTTCCCAATCGCGATTAATCACTGAATTCTCTGGTCCAGACTCGATTATTTACAGACCGCCGTCACTCAGCTGGAATATTGCTGAGTGCGGCGTTAAACAACCAACCAATGCATTTCAAGTCTACGTAAGGTCCATATAGAGGCTCCAGCAACTGTACCAGACCACCAACACTACAGATGACAGACCACGTAGTGGAAGGCCAAGGGTCATAACCCGACGTCAGGATCGTCAGGATCGTCAGATTGTGCGACAGCATCTTCAAGATCGCTTTGTCACTGCTGCTGAAACTACTCGACAGACCATGAGGACATACCAGCGACACATTAGCGCGCTCCACTGTCACAGGCCACACCGATGACCCATTCTGACATCACCTCATCGCCGGGACCGTCTTCAGTGGGCAACACATCACCAGTATTGGCGCCACCAGCAGTGTAGAAGAGTCCTCTTCTCAGACGAGATCCGTTACTGTATCTCAACAGCAGATGGCAGAGAGAGAGAGAGAGAGAGAGAGATAGAGAGAGAGAGAGAGAGAGAGAGAGAGAGAGAGAGAGAGTCTGGGGACGCCGTGGGGAACGTTATTCGGATGCTTGTCTTGTTGAGGCAGACTCGTGGGGTGGTCCGAGCATCATGGTGTGGGGTGGAATTGGTCTTGCACAGAGGGTCGGCCCTGTGGTCTTCCAGAACATCAGTCCAGGGAGAGGCAATGGTGTCACTGCAGCTCGGTCGGTGATCAAATCTTGAGACGACACGCCATACATCATTTGGCACGACGCCGCAAGTTTCACCATGATAAAGCCCGTGCCCACACTGCGAGAGCAACAAGAGACTTCCTCCAGCAGAATGACATCAGACCCATGCAGTGGCCTGCCCTCAGTGCCGATTTAAATCCCATTGAACACCTGGGAGACAAGATTCGAAGACGGCTGAATGACTTCCGACCAAGGCCGACAATTGCAGCTGAACTGCGTCAGGCGTTCCTCAGAGTGTGAACTCTCAAGTGCCTATGGCCTTCATCAACCGCCTCAACCATTCCATGTTGCACGGCAGTCATCAATGCACATGGCGGACACACGAGATACTGACTTGTGATGCCATTTTCTCAGAGTCTAGTGTTGTGTTTCACTTTAACAACATTTGACACTTTCATTTCAACCTTGATGATCAGTTTTGTTAAAGGTTATCTTTTTAATATGTCTCAAAGTATGTTGACAGTGTTTGGGCAAATGAGGTTTCTCATATATCTATCCATGGCGACGTTTTTTTTGCCTCAAACCTTTCTTTTAGATAAATCCGTTATCACACATGCATATGTTTTACGCGTATCTGTTAGCAACGATGCAACAACGATGTTGGGGGTTGTTCATGTTAGCTCCATCTCCTGGTACTCATGACAAGATCAAACGTATCTGGAGAGAAATCCTCGGAGCAATAGCGTTGTATTTGTAGTAGTGGCAATATGTCCTCAAAAGGAATCGTGAGTTTTTGTAGGACCAAGTCGAACAGGAAATCAATACAAAATATTGCGATTAATAAAAAAATAATTTGATAAAACTAGGTTTGGAGTTTCAACCCTGAATTGACGCGTGTTGATACATGTGATATGAAAAAAACTCAGGTGAGATTCTATTTATCGTCCAAATTCATCTCCCCATTACGGGTTAGAATAGGTCTTCAGCAACCCATGCTTGCCGTAAAATGTAACTATGCTTGTCGTAAAAGGCGACTAACGGGATCGGGTGGTCAGGCTCGCTGACTTGGTTAATGCATGTCATCGATCCAAATTGCGAGGATCGATGCTCATGATATTAATCACTGGATTATCTGGTCTCGATTACTTACAGACCGCCGTCATATAGCTGGAATATTGCTGAGTGCGGCGTTAAACAACAAACCAACCAACCAAACCAAACCAATCCAACTTTTTCAGTTCGTAAACAAAAATAGCCCGTTTGAAAGGAAGATAATCAATTTCAGTGGCAGAGTGGTTATTCATGTCATTTGATTGTGGCGCCATGGTGGCCGATGACGTTACAATGGTCTCAACTCATACGATTTCATTTCTCACCATGCGATATCTGTTGTGGAAGCCAGTGTTGTATGAAAAATAGAGAAATCTAACCCTTGTGTCGTTTTGTATCCGAGGCTTGTATTAAAACGTCGAGTTCAATGTTCGCCCAGTTGTGTAAGTTGGCATCCTTGTTTTGTTGTTATTCTTGGTTTGTTGGTATTCTTAGTTTGTTGGTATTCGTGGTTGTTGGTGTTGGTATTCTTAGCTGGTTGGTATTCTTGGGTTGTTGGTATTCTTAGCTGGTTGTATTCTTAGTTTTGTTGGTATTCTTAGGTTGTTGGTATGCTTAGTTTTTTGGCATTCATGAGTTGTTGGTATTCTTGGGTTTTTGGTATTGTTAGTTGGTTGGTATTCTTAGTTGGTTGGTATTCTTGGGTTGTTGGTATTCTTAGGTTGTTGGTATTCTTGGGTTGTTGGTATTCTTAGTTGATTGGTATTCTTAGTTTTGTTGGTATTCTTGGGTTGTAGGAATCTTAGGTTGTTGGTATTCTTAGGTTGTTGGTATTCTTGGGATGTATGTAT